GTAAATTCATTCAAAGTCAATTCTCACTTAAAATGTTGGATTAAATTAGGATATTACACTTTCGTAAGCAGTAGAAATATTGTGTGCACAGCTACAAGTGAAAGGAAGTCTGATATAGTCATCAATCAGGTGTAACAGGGTTTATGCAGTGTAGAGTCAGTCCTCTGTTACAAATGTTTTCCTAGTATGTATAGAGCTGACGGACTTCAGTTTTTATCTTAGTGTGACATACAACTTGCCCTGCACTGCTTCCCTGACATTCCACTGCATGAAAAAATTAGTATGGATACATCAGTTGTCGATCGACAAGCACACATCCTTAAAGACACAAACATTCATTCTCCATACCTGCAACTGGTTTATCTCCTCGTCTGTAAGTGATCGTTCCATCGACCTGTATGTGATTCTATAACACTGGCTAGTCATACCCTTCTTGTTGGTGAAATTGTCGATCAACTTCACCTGCAGAGGCAAGAACTTCAAATGTTGAGCAAAGCAAGACAGTTCTCAGTTGACAGTATAACATAGTTCGTTTCACCATGGGTATGTGCCTGGACTGATCCGTGGATTATCCCTATTGCTTCTCCTCAACAAACCTACCACCCGATATGCTTCTCCTCCTCAACCATCTCCTCTTCCTCCACCGCCTCCTCCCTCCCTCCCTCTTCCTTCTTCCTTCTCCTTCACCATGGTCATCCTGTTCTTCCTCTTCGCCTAGTCTTCCTTTCTCTTCCTCCTTCCTCCTCATCTTTCACCACCCCTTCCTCTTCTTCTTCCTCTTCGAGACATCGATGCATACCAAAGAATCTTCTTCCTCTCATTCCAAAGATGGTTTAGGGCTTGTCGGTTCCCTTGGATAGCACAACTCAACTCACCAGCTAGGTTGGGTTTGTCTGTTTTGTCAACTAGGGCTTCTCATTCCTTGGTACAAATAATAGTAATTAGATGTAATGCTGTCATTTATACACATTAGACCTCTATTGCTCGAATGTTTGACTTCATCAAAGTGTACCAATCTAGACTCTTAGAAGTACAATACTTTGCTTAGCTTCTTCCAATTGCCTTTCCACGAAATTAAATCTTGTGCATCAATTTAACTTTTTGCTATGTAAATTATCCTTTAAATTTATCTTTAATTTGAGAAGGACTGATAAGAAGATGAACAAATAGAACAGCAAAAAAATGTCACTTGTATCATACCTCCTCTACAAGATCCCCGGCAACTCCTCGAACAACTTCACATAAGTTGTTCTCGGTGAAGGAATCACTGATCCAAAAACTAATATCCTTATAACAGGGAGGAAACTGCAGAAGACATCAAGTTTTTTTATGAGTTTCAAAGAATACCACTTGAGGAAAAACAATAAACTGTCTCCTTCATGCTGCTTAGCAATTTATTTTAGTATCTAATGTGTGAATCTTAGAATTTTGTTTTTGATCTTTTGGGTGAACGTTAATTTTAATCTTCATAATTCCGACTTCACATAAGTAGCAGTGTGATTACCTTCGAAAATGGTTTGAACTTAACACCAAGCTTGCCCTCTGAGAACTGTACAAAGGAGTCAGTAGATCAAATGAATTACACGAAGCTTAAAGCTTAGCAACTAATAGAAACCAATTTTAGCAAATCAGAGTTCTTTAATTCTTAAGTGTATCTTATAGAGCATCTTATGGCACAAATATGACCATTCAATGAAGGACTGCTGGCTGCAAATATCTTTGTGTTGGTTTGCATGCCTTGACTCATTTGCAAAAGTAATACCTTAAAAGTTTAGTTGTTGAAGATATGAATTGACTAATAAGACTTAATGAGTGGATCATTGTTAATTTGGGATTAAACATTTTCAACCAAATTAGAATCAAATGACAGGTGCCGAAAAGTTATTGGATTCACATGGCAGGTGCCAATACCTTTTCGGCATGACATCAATAGAGCTTAGAATGGAAGACTCAATCTAAGTTTGGCAGCATATTTTACATGAACATGACACATTGACATCATGGAAGAAAAAAAAAAAAAAAACAGTATTAGCTTAGTAGCTGTTAATCAAAGGTAATTTCTAACTTATACATCTAAAAACAATAATGATATCTGCAATTTAAATCGATTGATGCAAAATCATGTTTCTCAAATTTGTATCAGACTTTAATATCAACTAAGATGTGTGATCTTTGTTCTTACATCTTAGTGCTATCATGAGTGTTTACACTAAGTGTCGAGTAGGAGTTCACTCGGTGTATTACTATTACTTATGAAGCTTAACATGATCATCAAAGCACTAATGCAGTCCTTATTTCTCTAATAGATCATCCAAATCTGCAACCTTTCTCACATAAACAATCTCTAGTTAATGTACACTGTTCAGGTTCATGGACACCACTCCCCAATACTTTTACCACGTGTGTTCCTCAAACTCGTAAACTTTCATGATCTGTTGCAATCATTCTCTAAATATGTGTTTTATCATGCTTGTAACACATGTTTCCAATAAGTCTTATTAGATCCTATTGGATTTAATGGTAAAAAGGTTACCAGTGTCGCATAACCTCTAAATCTCAGTCAAAAATTATGATGACATTTATAATCTAACATCACATATAAGAAATATGGAGATCATGGAATGGTTACAAGTCGATGCAAAGCACAAAGTTCTAGCTAAGAAAAAAAAATATCAGCATCAGTAAGACATTGGATCCTATTGGTTTTACAGTAAAAGGTTACAAGTGTCACATGACATCTGATTCTTGGCCGAAAATTATGATGATACATACGATCTAACATCATTTGTGAGAAACATGAAGATCATGGAATGGTTATACATCAAAGCAAAGAACATACTTCTAACAAAAACAAAAAATACTAGCATCGGTTATAATAAGAAGAAGCAAAGCCAGAATAATACATACTTGTGATGTAAACCGCTGATCTGTGGACCAGAAAAGCCTAATATCTGGTATATCAAAGAGAACCATCGCAAGTCTTTCTAACCCAAGCCCGAATGCCCATGCAACAGAGTCCTTCCTACCATTTCTTGTGAGTATGTCTTGTTCGGTCACTCCACACCCTAACACTTCCATCCAATTCTCCTAAAAACACATCAACAGGAACGCAATTATAAGCTACAAATTAACACATCATAAGAAATATGAAAAGTCGGATTCGAAAAATGAGAAGAGACGGAAATAAATGCTGGAAAGTACTTGAATTTCTTAAACAAGAAGCCTTGCTCTAAGTTTGCCCCTTCTTCAGCTTGTATTTGTTATTTGAATTAGGTTAGGGATGGCAGCTGTTGGATTTTTTTCAATGACTTTAAGAATATCGGATCTGCTTAAACCGGGTTTGACTACCCTATAGTTTGAGTTTGGGATGAATTCAGACAGAAATTTATGTAACTAAGTTGAGTTCACCCACATAGAGCTCAAGCAAGGTGATATTTACACGTAGCGTAGGGTACCGCCTGTTTCATACCATTCTAGATGGTACATCAAACCATGCTCTACACAATCGTCATTCCTAAAATGAGCTAGGGATGACAACTCACTCGACTCAGACGAACTAGGTCTAGGTATCATTCAACAAAAAGCTTACTTCAAAGTAGATATTAATGAATCTAATTCATAAGTTAACAAGAGTTGATTTTTAAGAATCTCAAAGCATTTTAACTAATGATCCAGTTAATTAAAGCATCTGCACATAAAATACAGCTCTAAGAAGAAAATTTAGAGGAAGACAATGGCAGGATCCATCAAATAGATCTGGCAAAAGGCAACAAACCTGGAAATAAATCTCTAACTCAAATGATGGATTGGTGAATGGAAAATAAGTATCAACCCACCGCATCTCCACAGCACCTGCACATTAAGGCCAGTTTAGACTTGGGACTCCAAGTTACATATCTTAAAATTATAATTATGCATCTTGGGTTAAATTTAAACAAAAATGAAAATGTCGCGGATTCCAAATACCAAAAAGATGCCTTGCCAAACCCTCAAGACATTTCTTCAAATCCATGGCCGCATAAGATGTTGCATCGGTTCCAGAATCCTTCCACTCGTCGGGAGAGAAGATGCGAACCCCTTCCATCTATATGCTGGATGCTCAAAATAAGAAATCGCATATATCCACATAAGGTCTATGATCTTTAATCTTTCGATGGACAAAAACCTGATGAAACACAGGATAATGAGTTGAATCAATGGAGTCTCTACGATAGACATCCCCGGTTACAAGAAAATGGCTGTGTCCTTCCCTCAGTAGCTCTGCCTGATGAGCACTTGTATGGCACCTTAAGACGGTGTCCGCATTAACATAGTATGTATCATTATAACTCCTGCTTACATGATCAGCAGGCACCAAAACCTCATCGAAGTTCTGCAGTGAGCAGATCTATAGTCAGCCACAAGAATGCAATGAACCAAATTTGGTGAACTTCAAATGGAATGCATTTAAAAAATCTGAACAGAAAGCTTCAAACAAATCCAACAACAAAGAAAAAAGGCACAGGACTGCCATAATTTCCATCATACTTTTGTTGGCTCATTAGCAATTCAATTTTCATCATCATATACTTCAAGAATATCTGCGATATAACTTGTAGACTTCAGAGCACACAGCAAAGCATCTAAATCTTTTCCAGCATTCTTGAAATTGTCAACCGACCTTAAAGGAATGGGTTTTCTTTTTCCAACTAGCAAGGTTGTAACCAACATAGCCCAAACTCTTATCATCCGTTCTCCCGTGCACACACAGTAGGAAGCATATTATGCTTACCGGTCACACCACAATGTAGTATATAGATTGATGATTAAAGCTACATGAGAGTATCCTTTTTTCCTATTCATATTCGTTAAAGATAACAGCAATAACAAAAGACCTGTATGGTACCAATTCGAATCTTGATCGATACACTGCCATTATATAAAAAAAAATTGTAAACCCTAACAAAAATATCAAACTTTATCAGAAGAAAATGCAAAAGAATCACCTGCTGCACGGAAACAATGGGACAAAGATCGTCAAATTTGACGAACTTGGAGGCGTAATTAGTGTCGAAGTAATCATAGATGGCATTCTTCAAGATCCCAATCGGATGAGTATCTCTCCGGTGGAGCTGCAAACCGATCTTGGAGAAGATATTGTCAGGCACATTGTTCGTGGGATCGCTCTCTCGCACCACGTCTGATTCATCAACCAAAACAGCAATTGTGAACGGAGATGGAATTCTAGAAGGATGAGTTGCGATTCTTGATCAGAAAAATAAGGAAAGTTACCATCTTTGGCGATCTTGACGCCGCCGATCTCGAGCAGAGCTGCAGCGACCAGTGTCTTGACCCTCTTGTTGGGCTTGGGGGAGGGGACGGAGGAAAGAGAAGAGAGAGGGGAAGCGGAGCAAGAAGATGAGAGGAATTGGGGGAAGGGTTTGAAACCGTGACCGCGGGGGAAAAGATGGCAAAAGGAGGAGAGAAGGGAGGGGACGGCCATGTGGATGGCGTGGTGGTGGGTGGATAGACGAAGCGCACGGGCGCAGCAGCTGCTGCTCCTTGGGATAAGCATCTCTTCCTCCCGCTTCGTCGTCGGAGGTTAAAAAGGGTAACGAAAGCGAAGGCTGCTGCTTCGGTTCCTCTCGCGGATGACCGCTGCCCTTCGTCTCACTGCCGTGGATCGGCTTCCGCCGCAGAACAAACATGTCAGTCAAATTTTATTTCAAGTGAATATATTTTTTTATTTAAATTAATTAGTAACTGATGAACTTTTTAACATCAATTAAGATGTATAATATATATATATATATATATATATATATATATATATATTAAGATTGATAAATTAATTGGCATTAAGACGGTCTAATTAATATTAACGGAGGTTTGTAATATTTGAAAAGATTAATAAATTATAGTAAAAATTATAATAGAATTAAAAATAAAATAGTTTATATTACACGTCTGCATCGCCAACCACACACAGTTAACCTTAACTCGTCAAAAGCACGAAACTTCCAACCATCGGCGGCAGCCTTCCCCAATCTCGGCGCCTCCTTAACCTCTTCATCTTTACATGCTCCTCTCTTCCTCTCGAAGCACACCAAATTAGGTCAGAGCAGAGCAGGTGGAGGAACTCTCCTCTGCCTCCCGCTCCTTCCCCGAAGCCTCTTCCTCAGCTCTCTCTACTCCATCCATTGGTGTTGCTGTGGTACAAGACAACTCATAGTCAATATAATTACTCACGCCATCACAACCTAATCTGATGGAGAGGTGGTTGATTACCGCTACCCAATAGCAAGCCCCCAAGAAGTGGTTGCCCGCAATGACGATCGCCGTCTCCGACCCCCTTCGTCTCCTCTTCAGCGCCTTCTGCTTGCTTCTCTTGCTGGATCTCGCCCTCTCCCAGAACTCCTCCTCCTGCCCCCTCGACTTCTCCGTGACCCAGAAGTTCGTCTCCGCCGCCGCTTCGTCCCCTAACTCTTCCGACTCTGCCCACAGCTGCACCTACGCCCTCCAGCTCCTCCACCTCACCCTCTCCCAGTACCTGCGTACCGACTCGCTATTCCACCCCCCCGTCGACGCCGCCGCCGCCTGCTGGACGGCCTTCCAGGCCGCCCTCGCGCCGCTCTTCTCCGCGGCTGACCCCTTCGATGTCCGCACCGGATGCGGGTTCCGCACCGAGTGGATCGCCCAGGGGTGCATGAACATCACCTCCCGGCAGGATTTCGAGAACGTGGTGCCGTCCGCCGGCATCAGCGACATGGACCGCAACTGCAACCAGTCTTTCCAGACCACGCCCGCCTGCACCGCCTGCACCGTCAGCCTAAACCGCGTCAAGGCCGCCTACCTTCCCGGTCCTAACCACGGGAATGTCTCCGACTGCGCCTCCTACCCCGCCATCTACGCCGGCGGCGCCATTAGCAGCTTGGGCCCCTCGGACGGCGCCAACGCCTACTGCTTCTTCCTCCTCAGCCCCAACACGTCTGCCCCTTCCCCCTCCGGCGGCGGCTCCAGCACTTGGATCTACGGCGTCGCCGCCGGCTGCTTCGTGCTCCTCCTGCTCGCCGCTCTCGCGGCTTGGTTCTGGGTCAGACGCTATCTGAATCGGCGGAGGAAGCTGCGGAGGAAGCCCTCGAAGCCGGAGGTCGAACCCTCGCTGGCACTGGAGTCGATCAGCGCGAGCACAACCCTAGTCAAGTTCAGATTCGACGACATCAAGCAGGCCACTAAGAACTTCTCCAGGGACAACATCATCGGCCGCGGAGGCTACGGCAACGTCTACAAGGGCGTGCTGGCCGACGGCACCGAGGTCGCGCTGAAGCGATTCAAGAACTGCTCGGCCGCAGGGGACGCGAGCTTCGCCCACGAGGTGGAGGTGATCGCGAGCGTCCGCCACGTGAACCTCGTTGCTTTGCGAGGCTACTGCCTCGCCACCACCCAGATGGAGGGGCACCAGCGGATCATCGTCTGCGACCTGATGCGGAATGGGAGCCTCCATGACCACCTTTTCGGCACCGGGGATCACCGGCTCAGTTGGCCCTTGCGGCAGAAGATCGCTCTCGGAACTGCCAGGGGATTGGCGTACCTGCACGACGGAGTTCAACCGGCCATAATCCACAGGGACATAAAGGCAAGCAACATTCTTTTGGATGAGATGTTTGAGCCCAAAGTAGCGGACTTTGGCTTGGCGAGGTTTGCGCCGGAGGGGATGTCACATGTGAGCACCAGGGTGGCTGGAACTCTTGGATATGTTGCTCCGGAATATGCCTTGTATGGACAATTGACTGAGAAGAGTGATGTGTACAGCTTTGGAGTTGTCTTACTGGAACTCCTCAGTGGAAAGAAGGCATTTGTTTCCATGGGTGAGGGACAAGCGTTTGTACTGAGCGACTGGGCTTGGTCATTGGTTCGAAGAGGGAGGACAATGGCTGTTCTTGAGGAGGGGATGGAGGAATTGGGGCCAACAGAAGTGTTGGAGAAGTATGTACTTGTTGCTGTCCTCTGTACCCATCCTCAGTTGCATGCAAGGCCTAAGATGGATCAGATTGTGAAGATATTGGAGACTGATTTGGCAGTCCCTTCAATCCCAGACCGGCCAATCTCAATTGTGTCAAACATTGAGGATATTGAAAGATCTGTGAGCAGTAGTGGTTCAGGTCAGCTATCTAGTTTTGCTGGGTACCAGCCATTTGCTTTCGGAAATGATGATGTTAGTTCTGATGATTCAGAAAAAGCATGACACCACGGTCATCTGACTGGACCAGTTCCAGAATCGTTTGGGGAGGCTGATACAGAATAAATTAATTGCAAGAGATCTCTCTGGTATGCAATGGTTTGCATTTCTTAATTGCATCATTTGGTACCTGGGATGCAAAAGCATCGCATTCTGTTGTATATAGTGTCAAGTTATCTTTTCCCCCATTTGAGGAGGGAGTAGGTCTTCGGTGTCTGCCATATGTTAAGTAAACTCCAAGGATCTCATTCTTTCATTCGATGTTTGCTTACTTGTGATATGTGAGAAGTGTTATTGATGAATTCACAGGTCTATGATCTCTTTCTAAAACATTTCTAAAGTATGATTGATACGTAAAGCAAAATGCACAAACTACATTTCTAAAGTAACAAGCACCTTGTTACTGTTCCAAGAAAGTTTGTGCTAGCCTGACGACATCTTGCTACCCACAGCATGTGAACAAATGCTAGATTCTTGTTAAGAATCAAAATGGTTTTACTAGAAATGCATGGATTCATGCTGTCTTCAACAATCCCTTTGGTTCTCATGTTATTATGGTGTCTTACTTGTCTTCTAGCTTATCCCATTTATACACATTTTCCTGGATGAGTTGATAAAAACCTTTTATATTTTAGTTTACTTGCTGTCTTTATATGTCATAATTGCTACATGATTATGACATGGTTAATCTCCCATTGTGATTGCATTCTTTATTTACTGTCATATGGTATATGCACACTCAACATTATACCTCGGTGCAGCACTTTTGACATACTAATTTTTAATATTCCTTTTCGATGTACATAACCTTTGCCATTAAAGCTAAACACCATAGCCGTGTGATAACTTTTTAAAAGCACTCCATAAATGGCCTCTTTTTGGCTGAAATGATTGCCAATGTGATTGAGAGTTGAGACTAATACTTATTTTTTTCCAATTATCATTTTATCAATTCCAACCAACCAATGCTATGACTTTAGAAATTTGATTGGCATCACATTTGCTTGATTTTAACAGGTCTTTTGTTGATTTTTATTGCATCAACTGACTGAGATGCAAACGTTACCATTTCAAAATTGGCATCCAGCAGTTTCATATCTGTGTGGAGATAGTAACACAAATAGCGTTTTTTTTGCCCTGTGAGCTCATTTTTCTTTCTATTTTGCAGAATCACTTGCAAAAGCTTGAAAAGTTTTACAACTATACTGTTAATTTCTAGAAATGTTAAGTTTGCTCTTGGTTTTCAGGAACACTAAAAACTTGCTTTCTGGTTACTAGTGCAATATTCACTGTCCTCATATGAGGTGAAGATCGAGATTCCTGAGTGAATGTCCTAAAATATATACCTTCTAAAATTGAAATCTTGGATCCCAGGGTTTGGTCTCTCAGTCTTCAGATTTGAAGTTATTCTTGGTTTTTCTTGTGTACTCGAAGGACATGTTGCCTAGACGTCTGTTTCCTGAATTGTGCAGCGAGTGATAGACATTTTCCTAGCAGTGCTTTTCTTAGTCTATTTTGCTTTTTATAAGGATTTATTGTGGCCTTTCTCCATTCTATGTATATATCAAGATTTCTTTGCATGAGAAACAGCAACATATTTATCCTATCAAAGCTATCAAACTTTTCTACTTGCTAATTGTAAGCCACTCTTGCCGGAGCCTTCTGTTGTTGCCAGTAATTTTCCACCAATCTTTTTCGTAGCTTCTTTAATACATCAAATTTCCACCAAGCTCTTTCATCCTTTAAGCTATTTGCTAGATGACTTCTTTCGGCTGGTGCTTGAGGAAGTCGTTATTTCCTATAGGCTATACAGGCATTTTTTTTTCTTCCATTAAAGAATTTTATGCTACTATTTTTTACATCGAATTACATGAAGATGATTCATTCTGCTTGTCTAAGTCACATCATTTCTTGTATCAGTTCTATGGTGGTTACCGGTAGTGGTTAATTACTAGTTAGAATTGCTTCGGCCTGTTCTTATTACACCGGTAGTTTATGATACTGGTTTGATTAGTGCATACCAGTTGTTATTGACTAGTCCGATGAAGATTGAATTTTGGCATGCTAAATTGTCTGAATAGAGATCAATGTTTTTGATTTCTTGCATTAGATTTAAGTTGCACAAATGAAATGCTTTGCACGTCGTCCTCTTGTGATGATTTGTTGAGCCTGGAAAAGATTATGAATTTGAGTGTTAACTCTTTTGTTAATCTATCTATTGCATTTGTGTTCATTGAGTTGTTCAAAGCATTCTTTTGTGCCTGTATGCCCAAAGCATTCTTTTGTATGAGTATGATTACAGACTTTTCACCTTTCACAGCATCTGTAACTTTTGTGTTCTCCACCTCATTCAAAAGCATTTTTACATAACATGCAACAGCACAATGCCTCGTTAAATCTGTTGATGCACAACACCATGTTTATTACACTGCTTCACAATGCTTTCAAGCTTCAACAGATACTTGGAGAGGAGCATTTAAGATCGATGACGGCCAATCTTACACTGGTAAGGTTCTCAACTCGCCATTACTACTACTTATTACAACATTTGCTTTCAGCAAATCAACAAAGTTGCTGTTTCTGATGATCTTCGCAGGTTTATACTGATTCGCAGGTGCTCCACCCTCTACGGCTGCTCTTGCTAGTCCTTCGAAGCTACCTGGTTTCACTACCGATATCTCCAGAGCTGCAAGATCTCCCTCGGCCCTCTTCGCCTTGTAAACACTCCCCAGGCAACCTTCGAGGGACTGACAACATCTCCTCAAATGCGTGATGGACTCCTCCATTCTCTCTCTCTGTAGAAGGGTGCAATCTTTGCTCAATTCGACGAAGATGATCAGATGCTTCTGGTCCGAGTTGGGATCCAGGTAACCAGCAAACTCCACCATCTGTTCTCCATCCCTCTCCCCAACCATAAGCTCGAAACTGGCCATTGCAGACATCAAATCTCTTTCGGTGAAGTCCTCTGAAGCTTGTTTTGGTGCTCTGGTGATGAACTCCACTCTCGGGGAGGAGTTATGGAACCCGACGACCTTGACAACATCGTTCAGGCGGTAGCGGTACAGCCCCCGGTAAGTAGTCACCACCACCTCGTACATCTTCCCGACCTCTACACCGGAAATGTCTACTGTCTCTTTTGCAGCAGATGAAGCTCCCAAGTCAAAGGGAAGGAACTCGAAGTAGGCTGCACCGGGAAGAATCACAAAGCTCGTCAGCTCCGGCGGGCGCGTCCTGTCCATGTTGATGCCGATGGGGCACTCCGAAGCGAAGTAGTCGCCGCCCAGCAATGGCACTCCCTCGCCGGCGTAGTGCTTCAGGGTGGGATAGTACTGCTCCATGCTGCCGGTGCTAACACAAGCGATGTAACGCAGTTCCGGCCACAAAAGGGGAAGAATCCCATTCCAATTCTTTCTGCTGCTGGCTCCCCGAATCCTCGCGGCCAAGTCTGGCCGCGGCCCACCGAGCAGCTCTCCGACCGCCCTTCTCATGGCAAGCTCGGTGATCTCTGAGCTGACCAAGCCGGATTCGATGTCGTCGCAGAGCTGCATCCACTTGGACTCCAACATGCGCATCGCCCTGATCAGGCCAGCTGCGTAAGGGGATCGAATGCAGTCGATGGAGGCAGAGTGCCTGAGGCCGCAGAGGAGGTGGCAGTACATCTGTTGTTGGGCGTCGGACCCTGTGATGATCTCGCGGGGGCTAATGCACATCGAGAGCAAAGGTGAAGGCGTCGTCGTGGTGGAGTTGCTGTGGAAAGGGTATGCAGAAGCTGCCATTACCTTGAATCCAGCTCTGGTCGTGGTGACATTTCCGGCGTACAAGAACCACAGAATCTTACTGCTAGAAGATCTTGGAGGGAATAACCTAAGCAAGAGAAGGAAGTCAAGTAGATGAGATAAGAGCAGCATGGTTTCGAGGATCGACAAGAACACCTGTGAAGGAAGGCCGAGCTGGCTTGGTGAGCAAGACTGGAAGCAGACTTGGTGTGTATGGAATCGAAGAAAGGTATCAGCTTTGGCTTCATGGTGCTCGTTCCTGAACTGGAAGTAGACCAAGGAAGGATCAAACCGCAGCTCTAATCTTTGTATTCAAGGAGTGGAGAGAGAGAGAGAGAGAGAGAGAGAGAGAGAGGAGGCGAGAGACCTATTGAAGAAGCAGATGAGGGGATCGAGGGAGAGGGCGGCGGGCGGCTCGGCGCCGTCGGCGATCCTCTCGATCAGATCCGCGTAGTCGTCGTAGGAAGAGAGAGGGACGAGGCGGCGGAAGGCGGTGGCCACAAGGGCGGGGTCGACTCGGGCGGGATCAGGGAGGCGGTCGCGGAGGTGAAGGCGGAGGTAGGCGGTGCCGGCGTTGCTCTCGAGGATCGAGCGGAGGGTCTCCAGCTGGAACCGAAGGGCGTCGCGTGTGGACTCCTCGACCCACCTCGCCGCCTCGGCCGCCGCCGACGTCGCCATCGGACGGGATCTGGCAAGGCAGGACGGGAAACGGGATTCTCGGTCAACTTCAACGGCGTGCGCGATTGGGAGTCTCACGATCCGGTTGGTATAAATGCACGCATGAGTTGTCCGAAGAGAGAGAGAGAGAGAGAGAGATGATTTGTTCTTCCTTCTCTCCTTTGGGGTTGGCACGCATGAGAGAGAGAGAGAGAGAGAGAGAGAGAGA